CTCTTACTAGCTCGATACCCATGTGCTTCGCTACGAAACTATGTGGCCGGGCATAGTTTTTGGGAGGAAAATAAGGTGGGGGGGAGAATTCTGCCTTCTGCCTACCAGCATCCGTTGGTATTCATCTGGCTAGCATACCGTCAGTGTGTGAGACAATTGAGGACTGTTTGGAAACTGAAACAGTATTTGCTGCGTGAGCAAGGAGACAGCAAGGAGCCTGGGTGTGGCTTAGCTTAACTGTTCTGTACTAAAGCTGCTCTGAAACTGAAACTCCTCTCCTCTGCTTGTGTTTTGCCTTTGGAACAGATTTCTTTTCATGTGGGGAGGCGGAGTAGAACTCCTTAGCATCAGAGCATGTTAATAATAATAATAATAATAATACAGGAAATACTTTCGAAAAATCCTTTCTTAGTGAGCACCTAGAAGCCGAGAGGAACCTATGTGTCAAATTTCAAGTTTGTAGGCTTTACAGTTCTGGAGATTTTGTGACGATGCCTGAGGGGTCTTTCGCTTTTACAAGATATCGGTCCCATTCTTGGCAGTGACTTTCAATGTAGGTGAGAAAAAAACGGGGCACAGGTTTCCTGAAAAGATCATACGCAAATAGCAGTCAAAATTAAACAGTTATTATTAACAGTCCAAATGTTGGTTCAGCTTTGGCTTTTAATTACAAATCTCATACAGCCAGCTTATTTTAATGCTTTTAAAATTCCCATATAATCAAGACATTTTCCGGCAAATCGGCATTCATATATTTCACAAAGCATCAGCTGAATAAAGTGCAAGTGACAAAAGACTTTATGTAACATATTAAATGGCTGATAGAACCAGCAGAATCAGAAACCTTCAGTTTTACCCGACATCATAATTGAAAGGGACAGTCATATGTTAATACGTTCCCAAGTTCATTTTTCCTTCAAGGTTATTAGAAATGTAAGAAAGGAAAATGCATTCAAAAAAAAAAGAGACACACCGAGCGACAAACCACAAAGAAGATAGAAAAAGAGATGTATGGCAAAGCAGAGTTTGTCAATTTACGTTGTGTGGACTTCAACTCCCATAATGCCGCATCTGCCATCTATGGACTTCAACTCCCAGCATTCCCCAGCCAGGATGCTGACTGGGAATGCTGGGAGTTGAACTCCACCTATCCTAAATTTCCTAAAACTTGAAAAAACACTTATTATAAAGAATAATAAAACATTACGAAGGTCATAAAATTGTGCGTGGCAATAAAGAGCAGTAAAAAGGGCGCAATGAAGACATCGAGGGTAGCACATGTTTGGCCCACAATTTGGAACTTTAAATGGTTTTATGGGTTTATGCTAAGATTTGAGAAGACTGAAATAAACCGAAGATTGTCATGCCCTTGTTAAGAGACCGACTCTGAGGGAGAGGAGGAACAGCCGACAGGGAGTGGAGATGTGGCTCCAGAGGTTGTGGAGGAGGCTGGGGAAGGGCAGAGACCGGCTGGGCAGTCAGAGGAAGAACCAGGCCCATCCCCTCTTCATCCTAGGACACGCAGGGAGCAACGGAGAAGGAAACAACTTGGCTTACGAGAGAGGAAGCGGCCATGATCCCCTTCATTGGTTGCAGCTGGGGAGAACAGTATATAAGAGAGACGGTTAAAACACAGCGTTGCCAGAAGCAAAGTGTGTTTTATTTTGGGCTGAAGTTATCTTGGTCGGCGTCCTTCCAACAGACTGTGCCTTGTTATCTCCTTGAATTTGGCAATTACTCATCCTATTCTCTTGTGGAAATTCCTTCATTGTAGTTTGTTTTAGGTTTTTTATTTCACCTCTATCTGCTCATTAAGTTCGGACTGTATTGCTTTCTTTTGAAGACTATTTTTGAGTATGTTTTATCTCCAGCTGAGAATTATTGAACAGTGGGGCCAAGTTGGAGGCATTAAAGGACATTTATTTACCTTTTGGATTTTGTTACGTTTGTGTCACGCTCCGGATCATCACAAAGATGAAGTGACTATCCAATTTTTGGAAAAGGAACAATAAAGAGCAGAAAAAATAGCGAGTAGAATTTCCTTCTGGATCAATTGTGGTTAAGACATAAAGGGAGTCCTCAACTGACAACAATTCATTTCGTGACCATTCAGTGTTACAAGGGCACTGAAAAACTTTTTCACACTTACGACCATCCCGATGGGTCACGTGGATCAAAATTCAGACGCTTGGCAACTGACTTGTACTTATCATGGGTTTTTTTTAGTATCCTGGGAGGTCTTATAATCACTTTTCGCAAGCCAAGACCGTGGGGGAAGCCACAGATTCACTTAGCAACCATGTGACTAACTGAAGAACGGCAGTGATTCGCTTAACAACAGAGGCAGCAAATGTCATAAAATGGGGCAAAACTCAACTCCGCGACTTGCCTCACCTTAGCAACAACGTTGGCCTCGATTGGGGTTGTAAATTGAGAATTAGCTGTAACATTTTCATTTGGAGATTTATTTGGGAAGACAGCTCACGCAAAAGGAATAAGGAGTTTCCACCGTAGTGGAAACAAGGTCAGGGTGATAGGATGCTGGTTGATTTCTCAGGATGATGGCAAACATGTGAATTGTTACGGTTTTATGAACGGCACAACTGCCCTTAGTGCGAATCCTTGTTATTAATTGTTATTGCAGCATATTTCACATTAATTTTACTACATATATTAAGCTCTTCTAAAGAAGGATAAAACAGAATAAATGAAAACACTTTTGGTCTTTTGGTGCCAAACATGGCATTCTGACAATTTGTCATTTCTCACAGAAAGGCTGATTTCTCTACTGATTTGATCCCCAAACCCCCAAAATTGGAGCTTGCTTCAAACACATATAAGACTTTCCTCCCCCACCCACACACCCTTTGGATTAGCAGAAGCCCAAAAGGTAGTCCTCGACTTACAACAGTTCATTTAGTGACTTAAAGGAAGCTGTTTCTTCAGAATGGAAATCGAAAAGCTTGCAATGAATTTGGGGTCTTCTGTAAAAAACAAACCCCAAACAATGTTCTCGGATGATGCTACGGAAAACGGACAAAGCATGTTCCATGATGGAAATTCAATTCCACCTAACTTTTCAATATTGTTTTTTGAAATTTTTACAGGAAGAGTAAAAAGGAAACAAACAAAAACCAAGAGTAAAAATAAAACAAGCCAATGGCACTTCAGCGACTCAAAAATGTTCTGTGGCACCTGGACATTTATATGGAAAACACTCTTTAAAATATGGCCAAAAGTCAGATCATTTCATTTTTCTACTGTGCAGCCACAAACTTACAAATGAGGATGTGAATTTAACAGTAACCACAATATTTGAGAAAGATCTCTGATCTGGAAAAAAATTTTCGGTATTCAGCTTTGTTCGGGTATTTTCCCACGTCGTTATAGTTGGGCTTTTAAAGTTGTAGCGACATTTCGGCAGAATCTCATCTGCCATCATCAGGCTTCTGTATTGTGTTCGGCTACAGAAGCCTGATGATGGCAGATGAGATTCTGCCGAAATGTTGCTACAACTTTAAAAGCACAACCATGATGTGGGAAAATACCCAAACAAAGCTGAATACCATACACACACATACACACACATATGTATATTTTCCCTGCTCTGTTTCGAGGACTTATGGCAAGTTGGAAAGTTCCACTGGTTGTAAGTGAATCATAAATCTAGGACAGTCTTTCTCAGTCTTTCTCCATAGTGTAAACCAGAGGTCTCCAACCTTGGCCACTTTAAGACTTGTGGACTTCAACTCCCAGAATTCCTCAGCCAGCTTTGCTCAAGTTAGAGGTCT